ATTCGTTAACTGAAGCGCAGGGGTCTATCATTGACCTATAAGGGTTTTACCTGTTCTGCATTCTTTAATAACTGGCTTTGTTCTTGAACCACTTGCATCTGCTACAGGAAACCACACCCAACTGAAAGCCAGGGAACTGACTTCTGTTTCTGAAGCTGCTCGGAGGTGTAGCTGGAGAGGAGACTGCATAAACCCATCCTTGCTGGTACACCCTGGCTTCCTACCCCCCTGGCCCCCGAAACTCTCTTTCGTTGTTCTGTAGGTAGTAGCGCTGGAACACATCTTCATGTAGCTTTGCAGTTTCTCACTATTTGCTTGTGAGCTCTGCTCCTGATGGCACTGGCTGTGGCTCCAGTGTTGGTTCTTGTCATCTGGAGAGGCTCTTGAAGAGGGCAAGAGTTTCCAGCTCTCAGTTGGCAAGGAGAGGGCTGCAGTTACGGGGGAAGAGCAAAGCAAAGATGGTGTTTGGACCAGGGGAGGTTCTGTGGGCTTCATGAGAACTTCTCAGCGGTTGTCCCTCTCTTTAGCTGGCCTGCATGTGTCAGTCAACAATATTCACCTGCTTTAGGCATGGAAAAGGATAGTTTCTGCATGCTGCTGTGACCTTGGTGTAACAGCGTTCCCCAGACCTCCTGCTTCCATCCCTCTTTGGTTTTGCAAGTGCTTCTTTCTGAAGCTGAAAAGATATCTTTGTAGGTAGAAGCTGAACTTGCAGTGGAGTAAATTCATCACCATTTCTGCTTCTAAAGTAAAATTTGTGAATATGCCATAGTTGTGGATATTCTGAAGACTTTTGATTTTCTTTGTGTTCCTGGCTGTAGGCATGGAGGCAGCAGTCATGCTCCTTGGGAGCCAGGCTGTGTCAGTAACATTTCTCTAGAGGACGGTGACTGACATGCGTGTCAAGAAAGTTGACTGTCAGCCCAGGAGCTGAAAGGACGTGTGTGCTCACAGGAGCTGCTCTGAGTATCCTTCTGAGGCATTGTGTCTGCTGGCCTGACAGTTCCAGTCCCGCTCTAAGTGAGCTACGAGCTTGGGCTGTGATACTTCCTCGTGTATCCTGGATATAGATGTCGTGTCTAATTTGTTCTCAAGGGAGGGCAGATTTTGATCTGTAATTCTGTGTAAAGTTGGTAATTATCAAGTGTTCTCAATGCTTGCAAAGCCTTGCTGCAGTTCAGCACTGTGCAGATACTTAGCTGATGTGCATACTGAATGTTTTGGAGAGCATGCGACAGGGAAGTGCGAGGGTCTTAGCAGCATGCTGGCCGAGTGCATATGGTGGGCTATAAACGTTTGTATTTTCCTGGGCAAACAGGCTGTACGGGTAAGTCTTCAAAATGAGTCCTGCAGCGATTGCTGCCTAGGTGTTTCCCCACCCTGTTCCATCCCCTCCATTCTTCCTCCTCTTGCCAAGCACATAGCACTCCACAGTCTGGGTGCAGCGGTGTTATGTATGGCGTATCTCTGACCCAGCTGGGGTCCATTTGGGTTGGCAGACCAACGTATTAGATACCGTACTAAATAACTTTTGTGCTTTTTCCAACGAGCTGTCTCGTAATTCTCCAAGTGCACGAGAATGCTCAGTTTACTGCCGTAACCTGGAGCAATGCAACGAGCTGTAAAGACCTATGGAAGAGGTGATCCCCAACAACGCAATGTGTTTGTGTATAATTTCAGCTGGGTGGGTTTTGGTGGTTGGGCTAGGTTAACCTGTGCCTTCAGGAGTGTCCACATTGCTTCTTCACTCAAGCTGTACCCTCATATTGCCTGGTCACAGCTTATTTTAAAGGCAGAATGTTTGTCCTTGTGACTTTTTATACTCCTACATAAGAATTACTTGATGACCGATCTTAGGAACCATGTTTCTTCCCCTTTAAAAAATATGGCTTATGGTCTACAGTTCTGTAAAAATCTTCTATGATGATATAACTCTCATGGATTCCCAGTTTTGGTAATTAGTTTCTGGTTTTGTATTCTAGTAGAAGGTACTAAACCAATTCAGAGCAGGGTCCAGTTCCTCTGTAATGTGGTGGTGGTCGTGGTATGCGTAACAAGCTGCTGTTATCCCAAGCAGCATGCACTGTAGTGTGTTCAAAAAGAAATAAACAAGCAATATAATTCTAATGTTCCCAAGGAGATGAGAAGTCATATAGCACCTGTAAACAGAAATACAAGGAGTAAAAAATACTTCCCACTTTAAAAGCTTTAACTATTTATCTTACAATTATTCTGTGACCTGCCAGGGCGAGTAAGTGCTCTGCCTGGTTTTCAGCACTGGAAATTTGTCTCCTCCTTTTTTTCAAACTCTTAATAGAAAAAGAGCCACATCTTGTGTTACCATCTCAGCATCAGTTACTTGTGGCATCTAATAGCAACCAATGGGGGACAACGTTACAGTGTCAGGCTCCCTCAAATACCCACCTGCACAAATACTTTCATTTTTACATGTTTTTAAAACCTTCTGCTGGTCGAGGTGGGCAGATATGTACCAGTACTAGGAGGGAATCGCATTTCGGCCAGAGGCCCTTTGTTGGGGTTGTTTGAAGTGTGCAAGCTACGGACAAGAATCTTGTAATGAGCTAAAAAAAAAAAAGGATTGTAAGTTTCTTGTGTGTTTTGATGTACACTTGCTTATGGATCCAAGGTGTAAATGATTCACAAATACCCAGGGTATGAGATTACTCTTTCTTTGCTTGGCACGTGCTGCAGCGTTTTCGGTTGCCGTCAAAGCTGGTGCACCAGCGTTGTTGCCACGCAGCGAGCTCCCACGGCCAGCCGGTAGCCGTGCGCGTGGCTCC